TATTAGTGTCTAAATTACTAAAATTTGCTATTGTAAGCTATTTCTCGCACTTTGACAATTTACTCACTTTTCATGTCTGATCTCCCGATCTTGGCATATTCTATCGTACTGATAGTAAGTATCTCCAAATTTTTCTATTCGTTTTGCCAACGCTAATTACGTACTATTTCATCAATTTCACTTTATAAACATATTTATTTCGTATTCTATTCTATTCTATTTCGGCTCAAAACACTGGCGCAGAGTCGAAGCGTCGCGACGCGTCATGTTTTTCGCCTATAGCATATTCATCTATATATTCCAATTTTTAAGGTACAAATTTGTGTTTTGCAAATATGGAATCGAGTGTCGACGTCTGGTAGCATTCGAGCGGCTTCGCGCGTCACTTGGGCGCCGTGTGGCGTCAGACGCCGACCAAACTGTGATTCCAGCGCACTAATGCGAGTGTCGACGCGCGTCGCCTGGCGGTGGAGTTGAAAAACAGGATGCGACGCGACGCTTCGACTCTGCGCCAGTGTGAGTTCAGCCTAATAGCGGCCACTAGGCTTGGGCCAGTGTCACTTTCGATTAATGTTGTCAGTCCATCTATATATCTTGTCAATATTCTTCAATAACGTCAACGTTTCGGTAGCAGCAGTAAATCGTATTTAATATTTTTTAATATTTTGACATTGATTGACAGATATGTTACCCCTCTACAATCTATTCTTCCATAGATTCCTATAAATCATTCTTCCTTTGATATGCAATCTTAGCAGTAGAAGCGTTTCCGAGAAAACTTATAATGAGTGAGATGAACATGATATGATGATGATGATGAGGTCAGTAGTTTCACACTACAAGTTCTTCATACTGTTATTATTTATTATGAGAAATAAAGAAATATACGAAATATTACGTAGCATAGCAATATATATCGCATTATGCGTAGTCGGAATTCTAAGGTTATACAAACAAACGACCACGTGGAACATTTTCATAACAGTTGGCCCCTATGTAATGAGTGTGGTTTATATTACTTTAAAGGCTTCGTGTGGATGTACGCAATTCCTTTATTTGTAATTAAGGTAATGAGTCACATCCGCACACAAGTACACGTATAGCCGTGTGTTCGTTAACGCATTTTATTTAAATATATCACAATGAAATATTATTATTGCATGGGTGCTGAATAGAGTAATTTAAATCATTATTACGTATTCTAAATGTCACAGGCGTCGATTGTATATTATTGTCTGAATTTGATAAAGATGACAGGACAATTTGAATTACCATTTCGCAAGTAAGCGTCGTCTAATTAGTTAACGGTCTATCAAATTTTCTAATCTTGACGGACATAAAAAAGTAATCAATCATAGGGTTTTATTATTACCACATTATATAGAGATCTCTATATTTATATAGTTTCTTCAAAATTGAATCAGAAAGGTACAAATTTACAGTTGATCTGTCATAACGAATTTTTAAAACGTGAATAATTTATTAACATCTGACTGACTTACGCATTTTAAATGGTGAGCGACCTCCTCTAGTATTTAAAATTAAAAAAAACAAAATTCAATTATTCAAAGAGTACTTTGCATTAGAGGTAACTATCTAATCAAACAATTTGAAGTTTATTTCCTACGTAAGCAAATTACAGATGAAATCGACACACTCTACTAGTTTGTATGCGTTTGTAGGCAGATTAGAAGAATGAGTAAGAAATTCTAGGAGTTGGTGTTTATAAATAAACATTTACACTTTTACAATATTTATATCTAACATCACCATAGGTCGAGACAACGTGCAAGAGCTAAACGGGTAGCTAACTATCATGGTTTTTGGTGATCCAAGTAAGCAGCTTCAGTGTAAAGTTTTGTTTATTTTTAATATCAAGCGGAATCATATCGTAGAAACGTGTCATTGCCCTTTAAATGAACTATGTGTATACATGTAACTGCGTTTTGTAATGATTTGCAATACTTACTTTATTCATTAACGTGATCATAGTAGACAGAGCTCCCCTGACTTCATTTGTAGCGATTTCTCCTGTATACATAGGAGCGACAGTATACACGATGCCGTATCCGAGTCCAGAAAATATTCTGGATATGTAGAGGAAGAGCACTGATCTGGCCGTGATTATCAAAATCCATCCGATGATGAACGGGAGTGCGCCTAGAAGTAAGCTTGTTTTCCTCCCGAATTTGTCGGCCATGTATGCCGAAGGGACAGGCGTGAGCGCTGAGCACAAGATCATAATAGATGTTATCCATGATCCCTGGTCTTCTGTGATCGGGATTGGGCTGTCTACAGTCTTAAGTATTTCTAAACTTGGTGATGGCCAACCGTAGCAGGTTCCGGCGGTTGCAGTGATGAGCGTTGCTGTAATAGAAAAAATAAGCAGACATTTTTACGTGCTTATTGCTAAAAGAGGATAAATAAAAATTTTATTTTCAATAGTGAACTCAATTTCTAATGTTTTAGAAGCTAATTTTATAGTACCAGACAGCGCTATTCAATAAAACCTAAGCTTTCTGTATATATTAGTATCATGCCGAGAAATTCGTGGTTCTAATAGCGTTAAAACGTGTGTTAGTGCGTATGATGATCACGTAAGTTTTTATTAGTAGATATATTTCCTCTAATTGACGATTGCTTTATTACGTCGTCTGAAGTTCGGTGACTTCGTACTTGTATTAAAATTGTTTGTTGTGCATAGGTACATATTGTTATTACATTACATCCTGCGTGGAAAAAATAAGGATATGTTTACTGAGATAAAGGAGTTTACTTCCAGAATGTATATATATATATATATATATATATATAGTATTCAAGGATATGTCCGCGGATGTTCGGAAAATTACAATCCGTTTATCATTATCGTATCACATTGGACAGGTAGGAAGTATCTAGTAGGTAGATAAGTTAAGAAAGAGTCGTGTTTCTTGTTTACAATATGAATGTATTTGATATACTGCGTTTTGACGGCGATAGCCACCTATTTCGACCCTCTCTACGAGACACCTTGTATTCATGCCTGTGGAGAGAGTTAGTTATTTGAAGTTTAGCTCTGCTCTTAGGTTTAGTTATAGCACGTAATAATGAAAAATATATTAAAATTAAATGAATGAGCCTTTTTATGTTATTTAAATTCTTATAATTAAGTTTTTGAAAGACTATTCTTTATTACGAAAGTGAATCAGAATGTTTACATAAACCTTTCATCGAGTCATCTTACTTTGCTTATTTCTGCCGCCAAGCAGTAATGTCAGTATTACTGTGTTCCGGTTTTGAAGGGTAAGGGTACTGGTGAAATTACAGGCACATGGGACATGTCAACTTATGTATGTCTCAGGGTGACGGGCGCAGTGGCAGTGCCCCTCAGATCTTTGCGATTTAAAACTGTGAGGACACTGCAATTGTTATGGACAGGCGTGTAGCTTGCCATCAGGCGCACAACTTGTTCGTCCCTCACTTGATATTAAAAAAATATAAAAGTTACGTAATGAGACTTAAATGCCCTTTGATACTAGGTTTATATTATTATACTAATAGCCTTTTTTTTTTACAGGTTGAAGAGTGTAAGCCAAGATCGATGAGAATTTAAAAAAATATGAATAAAATCGACATTTCTATGTATGTACTACTTACCGATTTCACTACGAAAACAGCCGGAAAAAGCCTTACAAAATTATGGCATACATCTAGGTTAATCGCTAAGATTTGTGCATCTTCTAGGTCAATCTAAAAAATATAAAATTTTGTTTAAAAATGTTACAAAATTGACTGTTATCGTTTTTGCCTTGAACCCTTTGGATGAATAAGCAGCATTACTTTGGTAAGAATAATGAAGACTTCGAGGAAAACGGCTTCCGCGAACCCATTAGATATTTCCAAGGTTACTTAAGGTACAACCCTACACGTTTTGTTTGTGATTGGAAACGACGTTTTCGAATTAACTACCAATCAATGTAGTGAAACAAGATTGTAGCGATTGTGCAACCATGCTAGTTATCGTTCACAGCCTTATCGCCACTTATGGAAACTTCTTGCCCCTACTAGGTGACCGCTATTGAGGCAGTTTACTATGTTACTATTTACTTGTTGATATTATACATTAAACTTACAATGTATGAATCAGTAATATCGCTATCGGTGATATTCTTGATCGTAATATTGTATTTTATGAAAACCATGGAAATTATTAAAGGCTATTGATCTGCCCGTACTCTTGTACATTCGGATTAACGGATGTTTAACAACAAGTTTTAAACCATATTTATCTTGTGGCACGGTATTTTAATGGTTGTACTTTCATTGATATCGCTTCATCGAGAAGAAGGTTTTTGGGAGAAATCATTGAATTTAATTTTCCACTTTTAACTTAATTTTATTCGACAATACATTTTTGATAACATGGCAAAATTGAAAACGAATTTGACCATTATCGTCTCCTCAGTAATAGTCATCATCTAAATGGGACAAGGGGTTCATTGACCTGGCATCATTTAATTTGGATGTATGTTAATCACTAAACGTACAGGGTGTAAAATTTGCGACTTAAGAAGTGACATTATCTGTCATGTAACAGGCACATTTTGTTGTGAAGATAGCAATTCTTATTCATGCTTTTAAAATATATTGCTCTGATTGACAACAATGCAATGATGTATTTTTTGAGCGAATTTCGCACTTAGTTAATGACATTGACGTATATTTACTATATTATTAGTTATAAAAGCTAGTTTATATACCCTGTATAAAGGTATTAAACGACTATAAATGTATAAAGTACGTAATTCATACATATCGATTCGGGGACGTTCACCGAATGCCAGTTGGCACGAACAGCGTCCCGTAAATTTATATAGTAGATATGGATGCTACATTTGTCATTCTGCTCACGTTTCTGTGTATTAACCAAGTGTGTAAACATAATTATATTATTATTGCACGTTTTGCCGCGTCGGCAAACGACGAAGTTATTTTGATTTCTGTGAATACCAAGGTTGAAGTTGCTATATTTCAACGTAATATGGCAAAACAGAGTAGAATTTGCATTTTCATTTGCATATTGAATTTGTTGATATCATTTTTTTTTGACATACAGATCATTAACGACTATCTATTTATTAAATTCATGAACAACGCGACTCAGTTTACTATAACTTTTGCACGAAGGATTTTATTTGATAAGATCAGATGAAATTGCTATGTTACGTTTCTCATAAATGGCTGATAATATTTATGGCATTAATTGCCGTGAAAGACAAATTATGCCACCGCCCACCGGACCCATGACGTCACATCGGACGCAGAGGCCAGTCTGGATGGAGAGACGCCAATCTCGAGAAGACACAGGTTTTTGGTCCGGAATGGAATTGAATCGTTTACCAATAATATAACACTAATTTTCTGAACACAAGAACGTAGATAATTATCATTAATTACAGGTAAAACGTTCACGTTCTACTATTGATCTACGTGACTTATAATTTTCCCGATATTTCGAAACGGTTACAAACTCCATGATCAAGGGATGACTGGCCAGCGGCAGTTGACAGCTTTAAGATCAAACAGTCTGTCTACCCTTTTTCAATGTCGACGTCTACCCTCATCTCGATTTCTTGCGGCGTTACCATTGTCACTTACTTTCTTTCGAGAAACCACATACCGTATCCATACGTGAAACGGAAGTCGAATCTTTTTTGCTTTTATTATAGCTGGGGTTACGCACTAACTACCGGATTAAAAGCATCGGTTACTTTAAACCCGTGTTCACCTTTAAAAATTTGACACTTCTGACTACGTAGTGACGTTCCGACGATATTACTTGGGGGCTATCATCTCGATCCAATGGGTTGTCTCACTTTGTTTCAGGGTGTTGGGCTAGAGCTGATTTGTTTGGTCTGTCCAGCGTGTGTTTTTTTCTGAATCGTTGTTTAGAAGAGTAAACAACTAATTTGACTAGCAACTAACTTGTGCTTACGCTTATTTGGTACTTGGCTTTGGAATTTTTAGTTTTTTTTATTATACCAAGTAACGGGATGAACAAGTCGTGTGCCAGTGGTAAGCGACACGCCTATCCATAAAGAGTTATAGTGCAACTCAAAATTTTTTATCGGGAAGATCTGTAGGACACTGCTCCGGTCAAACTGAGCCACAAAGTTGTCAAGTCCCATGTGCCTGTAGTTTAACCAACACCCTTAAAAATCGGAACATAATAATGCTCACATTACTGCTTGGCAGCAGAAATAGGTGTGGTGACAGTACTTCCCGGTACTAACTCTTTTAAAAGGAACTCTACATTTACTAAAAGTATTCCACATCGTATACGCATTACAACCAGTACAGAAGTATTTTTTTATACACAACTTTAATTTCAATCATTTATAGCATTGATTGTCTTACATAGTGCAAATGAAAATAAGCCACTATAATACAACGGTGCTCCACATATAGAGAATCAGGAAACTAAACCCCATGAAAAGATGTAATTAAATGCTTTCGTGTGTAGTACATGAAAAACACGTACTTAAAATATGACAGATATATGGGCATGCATATGGGCGTGTATGTGTGAGTGACCCGCAAGCGAGGTCGACGCGACGCGGCGCAACGCGGAGCCCCCCAGCCCGGGGGCCGGGAGGGGTCTGACGCAAGCGCCACCTTGTGTAGAACAGTAAAGAATCATTCTCAGTCACAGTTGGAAATGTTAATTAATTTTGTATTATATTGTAATACTCTGTGTTGTATACGAATTATGAAAAAGATAATAAAACGCAATTAAACGTACTTTCTTGCTTGCTAGTATGCTTTTATTTAATTATTTATTGATAGGAAATGTTTACAATATATACACAATTTATCTTAGGATTTTGTTTGACCTTTGCTATTACAACGACGCATTTGGCCGTAAGGGAAAATGATTCGTGAATTTATGTTAGTTAGTTGAAAAACTGAATTTTATATACCTAAGTAATATACATTAAGATCTACAAGTACCATGTACTAAGTTGTAGGGTATTATACTCAAATATAATGCCAAAAAGTCTAAGACGGAATCTTGGAAGTCTTTATCAGACTATAATAGTAAAATATGAGAGTGAAGAATTATAAAATATAATAAATGACAACAAGTAGTGAGTAAATAAAACACAGGAATTTTGAAAAAACCGACAATTTCTGTTTTGAAAATTGATGACTTAATTATGTTAACTTCAATTTTCAATACGATATTTTTGCAGTATGTTTAATTCAACAAAATACAATAAAAGATCATGAACCGAGAAAAAAGTCATAAAAAATTACATAATAAAAATGCTAGAGATATGTCAAGAACTAAAAATTTTAACATAAATGAGATTGAGTTTTTATGAGGCGTTTTGCCAGACGACTAAAAAGAAACTGGCATTTTGGCAAGTGTAAAAGGAAAGAAAGTTAGAGGGTCGCATGCTATATTTATTTTGATTTTACGTTGTGATATAAACAACTGCACATAGAAACCATTTCCCAAAAAACAAACTAAATAGGAAAGAAACTAAATAAGAAGTCTAACAATTTAAACACGTTCTGGCAGTTTGTAATAAACTAATAACAAATCAAAATGTAGCGGCCTTATAAATTATTTAAATGAGAACGGAGCGTGTATGAGAAGCAAAATAATTTGACATACATTTTGGAATTACTTATGCCGAAATAAGACTTTGTTTAAAGACATATTTGTACAGATTGTCTACGACTGACTAGAGTTTTAATGGTGGTTTACTGATACGTACTGATAATAATATTCGACTTAGTCGTTAACCAAGATCTATTATTACAACTTGATAAAAGTTTCCGTTCAGTCTATAAGTACTCTTTTAGTATATTTTTTGTAAAGGCATCGAATTATAAAAGTATTTTGTTGATTACACCATCTTTTCGTGGAAAAGATCGATTGTGCATAATAATATGGTGTATGTGAATATAAGTAGAGAATTACATGCGATAATGAAATATTACATGGTGTGTATGAAGGATATGACTGTGTGTGTATGAATGTAGAGTTGAATATCTATTCGTTGAGGTTAAAAATAACTTGCGTGCACGTGATTCCAGCACACGTGGTACTCGCGCTACCGAATCTACCATTTGACACTTTTTCTTTGAATATTCAGGTTCCTATTATTTTACAACTATTACACTTGTTCTCGTTGAAGTGTTTCTTCCTTTTAACTTGTTGCTAGTTTTTTCATCAGCGCTTGCGGTTGTAAAAAACACATTGCTTGCGTTTGAGATAAAAGATAAAAGCCTGTGACTACAATGTAGAATCAGGAGCGACCTACAATTTACGTTTCTTTTAAAAATTTGTTGTACACAGAGCAGAACAGGCAATCTTAGCCTGCATATATTAAAGGTTATGTTATAAGTTACATATTTTATAGGATTAGGAATGTTCAATTTTCGGAGCTCCAATTGAATGTGGTTGATTTTGCCGAAATAAATTGTTTAAATTCAGTTTTAAAAATAAATTCGATATGCAAAAGGCTGGAATATATTTCTAAGCTTTTAAATGTTTCCAGCTAAATGCATACATTTTACTTCTTTTCATTCGTGTAAGGGGTTGAAGAAACTGAATATTTGTACAATAGAACCTATTTCATGGGAAAATAGTTATAGGACATTATGTAAAGTATTTTTGCCCAAAATACTAAGACACGAAAGAGGCACGAATTGGCAGACTGTAGTATATGCTTATCAGT